CCTCCTGCCGCGTCCACTTGCCGTCTTAAGCTGCACTCGAATGAAATTGTAGCCCTGGGGCCCTGGGGCGGCCAGGCTGGGGCATCCATTTTGGGGCCTGTGAGCTCTGAACGCTGATCGATTGTTGGTTGTTGTTGCAGGGTCTGTTTCACTTGGTGCCATAGCAGGCCTTTACATCTTGACAGTTTTTGGTTGTTGGCAGGATTTTTCCTCCGTTTCCGAATAGGAGCAGGTTCTGCCAAGACTTATGCGATTTGAGGAACTCGGGCGGATATAACAAAGCTTTGGGACATTTAAAACATCCACAAAGCTTCGGCCTCAGGATTGGAGTTATGTAAATTGCGAAAACCAAGGCTGAGGGTGACGGGTTTGCCGGTCCTTCAACGATTGCACCTGTGCCGCTGCCACCTCGGACTCCTGCACATGAATTGGGTCGAGTCTTAGGGGCTTTATTATGGACTCGGGCGGAGCCTCGAAACCTTCAGCCCTCAAAAAGTGTTCCGCTGCAGGAAGTTGAGGCTGCGGCTCTAGGAGTGGTTTCGTCTTGGACTCTCTGGATCAAAGGAGTGAAAGAAGTTTTGCGATTTCAGACCGCTCCACGCCTACCCTGCTCTGAGGCTCTGCGGCGCCGACCTGCCTGCGTCAGCTTTGCGCGAAGCCGATGGTCTTCCGCAGTGAGGCGCTCGATGCGGGGGAGCGCCTCTTTCGAGTTGAGCCGAGTTGAGGGTAATCTTGATCCAGCGGTGTGGGTAAAGGTTTGAAGGATGTGGTGCCCTATGATGCTAGAAAAGATACCACGTGAAGTAGGATTTTTCTGGTACCCCCCACAAGGACACTCCAAATATACACTCAGCACTGCTCCATCCGAGACCTGTTTGCCATACATGTGTATGATACATATATATATATATATATATGTATATATATATATATATATATGCGGATGTGTGTGTGTATGTATATGTATATGTATGTGTATATGTATGTGTATATGTATATGTATGTGTATATGTATATGAATATGTTACGTACATGTATGTGTCGAAGTGTATATATATATATACACATACATATAATAATATACATATATGTATATATAGGTATGTATGTATATGCATACAAATTGCACGTGTTTGTGTAAACATACATAGTATGTATGTTCTAGTTATATACTAGTATATATACACACACACTACACTAAACATACTCCATCCAATTCTCCCCTTACCTGCGACAACGAGTGCAATGCAGCTGCATGGAATCAGGCGTGGCCCATTGCTACTGCTACAACACACAGAATCAAACTTTGTCTTTTTTCACCAGAAGGTGCAAGTTATTCGACAAAAGCTGGATGATACCATGGCTGCCGAGCAACGGGTGTAATAAAAGGCTGCAAATGAAGCAGCACTGCTTTGAGGCATCTCTCATCTCTCGACACCGACATTGTAGCTGCACTGTAGCTTGTGCACCGCGAATGCTACCAGTACATCACGAGCCGCGGGACGTTCTGTAGTAGCATGCACCAGGATTCGCCTTACTAGTACGCCGGCATGCCCATCTACGTAACGAAGATCACGTAGGATGACTCCTAAGCCCCAGTCATCATGGCCAAATGGTTTCCCCTCTACCCCGAACATTTCGGGGATCCAGCAGGAAGGCGTACCCACCTTATTAGTCAACAGTTCATCACGAAGCCTGGACCCATCTGGGATTTCGGAGTCAGCATCCTCCAGCTAGCGGCGAACCTGCCCCTGGTGTGCGGAGCTTTGTGTGAGTTTGAAAAGCCCATTTTGAAGCCACTGAAGCTAAGTTGGAAAGCAGAATCTCAACAGTCTCAGCGCGTACTCGACATGTACTACATGTTGAGTTTCTGCTTTCCAACCTAGCTTCAGTGGCTTCAAAATGGACTCGTAGAGTCGCTGGCGACGCGGACAGCCAGCAATTTCTGCGAAGATGCCGTGCACGACATGGTTTGCGTGAGCAGACCAAGAAGATCCAGCGTTGTGTGCGCCTGCACCCAACGATGCCCCGAGTCACGACGCAGCCGGCCCCCTGGAAGGAGATTTGGCGACCTGCTGGGCTCGGGTGCCAGCGCCGCCGTCTATGCCGCACTTACACCAGACGGCTGGCATGTTGCAGTGAAGCGGACTCACTTGGATAAGGAAAAAAGACAATCTCAAGCATGAGCTCGGCATGCTCTGGCATTGCCAACACGAGAACTTTGTGGTGTAAGGGTGGAGCTTAATCAAGGATGGATGGATGGATGGATGGATGGATGGATGGATGGATGGATGGATGGATGGATGGATGGATGGATGGATGGATGGATGGATGGATGGATGGGCCTGGGCATGGAAACGGATAGCCAGAGAAGCAAACTTGGACAAACATCCAATTGCATCCCTGGGCTGCCGTGTCATGAGATGTTGAGAAAGCTCAACTGCCACTCCGGGTTTCTCTTTAGCTTCATTGTGTCCTACTACGAGACGTCAACTTGCACAGCAGCAGAGTCTCCTTCTTTCGTAAAGCACTCCACTGCACAAACAAACAAACAAATCCTCCGCTTTCGCAACCTGTGCTTTTTGTTGGCATTATGTTTAGCAGTTCAAGGAGCAAACAGAAGCTGTTGAATGTGCACGACTCCTAAAGCATACATGTGAAACTCTTACTACAACTTACCTAACAATCTACAGCCTAAAACCCTAAAGCCATGAAAAACCTTCAACCCCAAACCCTGAACGCGCAAATCCCAAGCCCAAAAACCTCGACCCCCAAACCCCAGCACTGCAAAGTTAGCTTGCCTTTTTCAAGCGCTTCTCCAACTCCAGGCGCTCTGCCTGTGTGCGCTCCAGCTCCTGGCAGCTGTTTTTTTTTGTTTTTTTTTGGGGGGTGGGTGGTGTTAGGGTTTAAGGTTTAGGGTGGGGGGTTGTTAGAATTTTAGGGTGCAGGGTTTCGGGGTTTAGGATGTGGGGTTGCAGGATTATCAGGGTTCGGCGCTTCAGGGTTCGGAAGTGTTTATGGTTTGCGGGATGTTGCAGTTTCAAGGTTTGCAGCGAGAAATTTAGGTTATTTTTGGGTCCAAGGGGTGGCAGCTGATGTCTACAAGCCGACGCATCTGATCTCCCGAGCAGTAGAAACCCAAACATCAAACGCAAACTCTGCAAATCCTCTTAGTCTAGGGCTGTCGCGAACAGAAGCACGAGATAGGAACTTCGTATCTTCTCAGCCTCCACCCCAGAAACCATCCGAATCGTACAACCCGAACTCCGGCAAAATGACACCCCTGAAGCCCAAAACGACATGAAGCCCTGCCGGCCCAGTACCCGCCAACAGATCCATTGAGCAAGAAGCAACATCCGGCAAGGCCCTTCGCCTCAAAAATCGCTCTCCAAGAAGCTCCCAGAAAACTCGTGTCTTGCTCAGCAACTATGAACCCATCGATGCCCCATGCTGCCCATAAACAGGCACATAATATGAGAGTACATATAGTATACACAAGCACGTAAAAGTATATAAAAGTATACTATTGTGTATTATAGTATGTTTTCACTACTAGAACATACCACACTTCACTTTAAAACCGGTACAGACACTCTTCCGCCCCATGTGCCTCTCGGAGCATCTGGCTGGCCTTCACACCGCTGTTCCGAACCAGCTCCTTCCGCTGCCTCTCCTGAGAAACTCGGTTTAGGGTTTGATGCAGGGGCCTAAATTATTACCAATACTATTTTTTTGTGGGGGGGGGTTCCTCATTATACTTCTAGTGTAATGGGCCCCAAAACCCTATTCTAATCATTAAGGCCCCTACTTTAGAATTTACGGTTTAAAGGCTGAGATTAGTCATGGTTCTACGGAGGAGAGCAATTCCAAAAAAGTAGGATGAGAATGACAAAACGCGCAATGGATGTAAGAACTCTCAAAAATACTAGGAATATGAATGACCCCCGACGCGCGAAACCATCTTCGTCATGAAAGCCGTTGAAATCACAAAAGACTCTAAAACCTATACTGCAAAGCTAAGCCCTAAACCCTAAGCTCCAAACCTCCAAGCTCCAGAAAGAGCAGCCGAGTCTCCACCTCAGCAGCGTGCCGCCTCACACGTGCCACGTGCTCGGCATGCCCCTCGGCCATTATAAGAGTCACCGCAAGGGATACGATACGGCTACTTTCGCTCAGTTTTATATCAAGCTCAGCTTCTTCATGGCATGCCTGAGCTCGGCATCGAAGCATCTGCTTTGCAGGCTTCAGAGCACGCTTTTTATGGCTTTTCGGAGACTCGGCTCGCAGGCTGATAGTTCTTGCATGTAGGATTTCAAGTCAGGACTAGAAGCAAACAGAGATCAGGGCCAATCATAAGCTTGGGGGGGGACTGAGGGCCCTGAAATGCAGTTCGGGAGTCGTCCCAAGATTAGGGGAGTGCGGCCGGGTTTGAGGCTTGGGGTAGCCTTTGAAACCTTTCACCATCAAAAAGCGCACCCTCCACTCACCCCAAACCGACGGGCATGGAAAAAGCTTCCGGGGCTCGGGATGGCAGTGACATTTGGTTGGCCCTTATGAAGACTATAAGCCCATATGAAACCCTTACAAACACTCTATAAACCCTATAAAAATTTTTCAACCTTATGAACCAGCACTAGAAACCCTGGTAAACCCCACAAACACTCGATATTAAACCTCTATAGAGAATCGTGATGAACCAGACGAACCCTACGTGCAAGTATAAACCCTTGCGAAACCGCCCACTCTATTAAACCCCTTTAACAAAAACTTATGAACCAGAACTCGAAGTGCCTCGCAGCGCCGTTCGGCTGCGGACAGCGAGGCGGCGTGGGACTGGGCCTCCAACAGCGCGCTCCGGAGTCCAAGACGGCTCCCAGAAGGGCTACTTCAAGGGCTGCATAAAGGGTTCTGTACGTGTTTTCTAGGGGGCTCAGCAGAGCTCGTCTGTAAGGATCTTAACAAGGGTCAAGGGTTTCAAAACGGTGATGAGGGTATGATAAGGGGCTTGATACGGTCTCCAAGGCCTTTAACTTTTCGAGGTGTTCTAGTTTGCGTGTGTGTGTGCGTGTATGTGTTTATGGTGGCACAATCGCACACAGTTTTAAACTGCCCTGAAGCCCGAAACCCCACAATCCGAAAACCCTGACACCAGTCAGCCCTGTTGCTTTCGGCTGGTTTGGGCTGTAAGAGTGACGGCCTGTGAGCCCGAAGCGCGTCTTAATTTAGACAGCTGCACGCGCACTTTTAGAAGAGATCTGTGCAGCCTATGCAGCAAAACCTACACAGCTGCGGCGCAACATCCCAAGACACCCTAAACCCTGAACTCTGAACATCAAACCTAAATTAAATGCTACACCAAACCTAAATTAAATGCTACACCCTCCCTCAACTGTACCGAGTCTGGACCCGCAGCAAAGGACTCACCGGGCGCCTCCAACTTCCAGGTGCCTGCGCGCCTCAGGCGAAGGCGAGGAGGGATTCTGTGGCTTAGGTGCTTAGGGTTTAGGGTTTAGGGTTTAGGGTTTAGGGTTTAGGGTTTAGGGTTTCTTGTTCAGGGCTCAGGGTTTTCAGGGTGCGGGGCTTGTAGCGTTTGAGGCCAGGGCTTCAGGAGCTTGTTGCTGAGGCCTTTTTTGGTTTAAGGTCTGGGTCGTTTTGGGGTTTCGGCCTTTAGGGCTTAACGACTGGGCCGTTCCACGGGTATTGAGGCTTCAAGGTTAGGCTTGGGGGTCTTTGCCGGTGTACAGGGCTTAAGGCTTAGGGTTGTTAGGGCGTTTTTTGGCTTCAGGGTTTCGAGAAAATCGCACGGCCGGCGAATCACTGTTGAAAAGGCTTCGAGTTAAGAGTGGTTGGACAGTTGTAGCTTATGGGCGGTCTGGGAGTTTAGGGCGCCTCAATTTCACCGCTTCCGTCTTTGGGGTTTTCGGGTGATGGCATCGCACTTGGTCTGGCGCTCTGCGGGTTGGCTCCTCGATGAGCTGGTGATCATTCCGCAAGCGAGGTTCGGCTTTACGAAAGCAACGACGACGAGGCCGGATGTGATGGTGACGAGGACACGAGTATCATGCAAAGAGGAGAGTTTGCAAACTCACCACGGCGTGAAAGTCCAGAGCCTACGATCGAAACCCTTTTGTAAGCCCGATCCCTCTTTCCTCTAACCATGCATCCCAGGTGCTGAACAGCCTCTGACTGCTCGGAGATCTCCAAACGCACCTAGCCAGAGCCCAGAAGACGCAAGATGCGGGGAGTACCGAAGGATTCGGTTGCAAGAATACCTTAGACTTTGTGGTGATTTACAAGCGAGGACGAGACCTCGAAGGCTGCCAAATTTAGGATGACGATTTACGGGTTCATGGTGTAGAGGTCCGTCTTAGGCCAGTGTTGTGAGGATTCGGGAAGAGTCGGGTCAAAGGCGACAGCAACTTTCAGGTTCAACAACTCTGAACTCCAAATCCAAAACACTGAACTGCATCTTTCGAATAAACTCATACTCATACCTGCCCCTGGGTTGTTTTTGTCACTGCTGCTCTGGATGGCCGCTCCCCACCTGTCCTAAACCCTAAACCCCCCAAACCCCAAACCCTAAACCCAAACCCCTAAACCCCTAAACCCCTAAACCCTTAAACCCTCAACCCTCAACCCTAAACCCCAAACCCTAAACCCCAAACCCCTAAATCTCAGAGGACGCCGCCTCGCGCAGGCGGGTCTCGGCCGTGCTGGCCCGGAGTTCCTCAGCCTCCCACGGAAGCGTCGGGAGAGATTGCTGGGTGTCGGGTTTAGGGTTTAGGGTTTTTTTGTGTTTCGGGTTTAGGGTTTAGGGGTTTAGGGTTTAGGGTTTAGGGTTTAGGGGTTTAGGGGTTTAGGGATTTTTTGGTTTTAAATGCAATAGCCCCCTTTCTCTCGCATGAGGTCAAAGGCTCGCTCATAGGAGCGTGCACTCTTAGAACTCCACTACAGGCACTCAGTCGACTATCTCAGGCTCATCATCGGCTTCAGGTTTAGGGGTTTAGGGTTTAGGGTTCAGGGTTTCATGTTCAAATTAAAGCTGGTGAGGGTTAGGAATGTTCTAGGGCTTTAGGGCTTCTAGGATGCGGGAGATCTGTTCTTGGGGTCGTAGGGTCTTATGGGGTCCAGTGTAGGCTACAGTAAGGGCTCAAGGCTGAGATGGATCAAGCACTTGGTTGAGGGACTAGGTTCTTTTGCATGAGCAAACAGAGCCCCGATGGGGCAGGCGGTGTTCAGTCCCATAGACCCTCGCAGTGCTAGGGGGGTTTAGGGTTTAGGGTTTAGCTCTCTGACCCTGCATTTCCATGCCAGCCTCCGTCATTTAGACAGATTTGACATGTTCACACGAGCAAGAACACCAGAATCGATGATGGCTCTCTCAGGCCAACAACCGCACCTACACCGAAACATCTCCATCCAACCCGAATAGCCCTAAACCGCAACTCCCTAACCCACCGATCCCTTGACCCCTGAACTCCAACACCCAAACCCGAGCATCTGCTGAACAATAAAGACATCGGTCCTGCATCCCTCTTCTGCAGATTTTTACTGCGAAGTCGAAGCTGCGGAGCCTTGAGGGCTTGCTGCGCGTCCTGCAACTTGGTCGCAGCCTCCCACAAGCGGGCCCAAGTGTGTCTTTCAGGATCGATTTTCAGGGGTGGGTTTTGGGGTGTACGGGGGCACTGCAAGGGTCAGGGCTTGATTGCGCAGAGGTTCCCGGGTTTTGGGGCTGTGGGAGTTTAGGACTTGTGGGCTTTTGGGGGAAGTCGTGAACCTTAGGGATCAGGGTGTCTATAAGTGTTTCAAATCAAGAATGCAACCCCGAAGTAAGCGTCTCCTGCTTCGAAGACCCCCTGTTAATGGCTTTTAGGGTTTAGTGTTCAGGGCTTCTAGGGTTTCGTGTTAAGGGCCTTTGAAAGATTCAGTGTTAAGGGCTTTTAGGGTTTAGTGCTGAGGCTTTTTATACACATGTAAGAGCCCTCCGTGAAGACGAGTCTCCTCTATCGTTTAGGCTTTAGAGTCTATAGGGTGTAGGGTTGAGGACTTAGACTTTAGGGCTTACCCTAAACCTCAGAACCCCCGGCCATCTGAAGAATTCACCTCTGAAAAGACCGACATAAAGCCTTGTCGTAGCCTTGAAACCCCAGCCCAAAGCCCTAAATCCCCAAAGAAAGTCAACGCTACACAAAGCCCGGGAGCCCCGATATGGGGGCTTTCATGGTGAGACTAGGGCTTTGTGGTATGTTCCTTATGCTCATTTAGGGACGGCTTTCACGGAAAAAGACTACTGACTATCAAACAGGCCTCTGCGAGTGTCTGGTTGCGCTCGGTCTCCAGATCTTTCAGCCGAGTTTGCGCGGCCTCCTCGCCACGGGTTTTAGAGGCTTTCAGGACATAAGGTTCAGGGCTTGATGGTGCAAGGGACTGCTTCGGGGTGCAGTCCAGACGGTGAGGCTAACTTCAGGGGGTTGCAGGGTTTCTCGCAAAGGATCGCTTCAGGGTTGATTTAGGGTTGAGGGTTTAGGGCTTAGGGTTTAGGGTTTAGGGTTTTCGGCTACATACTTGGAAAGCGCCCGAGTCAAGCATTGGCTGTGGGCTCAAAAAAAGGAGCCCCCAAAAGAGTACTTCTCAGGAACCTAGGATTCCTATGCAGCCCAAACCCTTTCAGCAGGCATCAGAACAGCGAACCACGGTTTAGGTTTAGGGTTTAGGGTTTATAGGCTATTTATAGGGTAACCCTAAACCCTAAACCCCTAAACTCCTAAACCCTAAACCCTAAACCCTTAAGGGACTACATTTAGTCAGTGGGCTGCCGTACGGGCATCAAGATCCCCTGGCAGATCTAAAGGCTCAAAGCGGCACTTGAACGTCAGGATTGCCCACATCTAACAGGAAGAAAAGAAACAAGAAAAAGCAAAAAAAAAGAAAAGGAAAAGGAATAAACAAGAGAAAAAGGACAATAGAAATGCTTACTATTTTCAAGGTTTACTTATTACGTAGCTAGTTATAGTATAAGATACCCTACTCAAATAGTATAAGATACCCCAAAGCCCTACTCAAATAGCATAAGATTCCCCAAAACCCTACTCAAACAGTATAAGATACCCCCACCCTACCCAAATAGTATACGATACTCCAAAACCCTACTCAAATAGTATGAGATACGCCAAAACCCTACTCAAATAGACAAAGATCCCCCAAAACCCTACTCAACAAGTCATGAAAAGGCCCTGGGTACTAAACCCTAAGCCCTAAACCCTAAACCCAAAACCCTAAACCGTTACTAAAGCCCTGCCTCTGTTTCTCGGAGACGGTTCTGCCAATGTTGGCGCTCGCGCTCGAGCTCCTCCTGGTGCGACGCCCGGAGCCTGGAGCAAGGCAAAGTTTTACAAAGGGTCTTAAGGTTTAGGGTTTAGGGTTAAAGGAGCTTTACACAGGTCTTACGAGGGATTTGCAGGGTTTGTGATAGTCCTTGGAATAAGGGTTTTGTAAGGGGCGATAAGTGCCTTAGAAGGGATTGAAGGGTTTAGGAAGGGGGAGTTTGAGGGTTTACAGCTTCGGCAAGTTTACGGATTCAGGTCTCCAAAAACCCAAAAACTGTCGAAGTGACCCTCACAGCCAACCTATAGCAACCTTTAAACCCTAAACCCTAAACCCTAGACCCTAAACCCTAAACCCTAAACCCTAAACCCTAAACCCTAAGCCCACACTAAACTGGGCCTCTCCAGCTCCTCCTCGAGCTCTCGGCAGCGGCTGCGCGGTGTGGGGGTCGAGGTCTCCTGGCTGAACATCACCATGCGGCTGAGGCGGTTTTAGGGTTGAGGGTTTAGGGTTTAGGGTTTAGGGTTTAGGGTTTAGGGTTTAGGGTTTAGGGTTTAGGGCTGAACCAAGTCCGAAACCCCTAAAGCCGAAACCCCTAGCGGCCAAGTTCAGCCCCGAAGCCCCCAACCCCTTTGCCTGCGCCGGCGCGGCATCTTTGGCCGCAGACCCGGCAGGCCGAGACACAAACAGCTCTGGCGGCAGCTTCGCACCTGGGCCCGGGAGAACCGCGCTTTAAGGAGTTCCCCTTGACTACACGGGGGGCTTTAATTCCTGGAATAGGGTTTCGGGGGCACATTACCCCAAAACGATGCTATAATGCCCTAAACCCCAAACCCTAACCCCCAAAAAGACCCCCACATTTCAATCGCTGGTCTTCCAAAGTCCCAGCTAGTCGCCGTAGCTCTGTTTTTCTCAGTTCGAGCGGGTCTGGAGACGATGTAATGCAGGGGCCTTAATGACTAGAAGAGGGTTCCTTTAAAGGGTTACTACAAGGGTTCTATGAGGGTTTAGTGTAGGCCTTAATAATTAGAATAGGGTTTCGGGATATATTATACTGTAATTGTAATAAGGAACCCTCAAAATAGCTGGTACTTATTTAGGCCCCTATATTAGGAATCTTTAGCGTTCAGGGCTTGAGAGCTGTTGCTGGACGCACGGATCTTGTCATAATGATGTCTCTATGACGCCTCGCACAAAACTCACTCAGCTCTTCCCTACAAGGATTACTCAACCCTCAACCCTAAACCCTAAACCCCTCTATTTCCTGCTGACAGTAGAAGTTCCTGTCTCAGAACCATTCTTCGAATAACCGGAAGCTTTATTCGGCTCAGGTCCTGCATCCGCCAGCATTCAGCAAAGGAGCTCCGCACAGGAGCTGCGATGCCACCTCTCCGGGGAGGAAGCGGGTTCGTAACTTTTGAAGGTCCTTGGGGAAATAGCATCTCCAGGGTGCAAAAGAATGTCTCAAAGGGATCACGGACGGCATTAAGCTGATTGGAACAAGTCCCTATCAGGTCGCGAAATTTCGAAGCGTGGACACAGACCGTCGTCAACACAAAGACCCAGTAAATATCTCCCCTCGACCCTAAACTGTCCCTTGGCCAAACCCTGCAGTCAGTCCTAACCCAAGCCCTAGAGAAAACCATCTATTGCCAAAACCTCATAACAGCAATCTAACTGAGTAGCATCGGCCTTTTTTCATGGAAACCCTGTATAGACTTTTGTGCCCCTATACAACCCCACGACTACACTACAACAGAACCGATCGGGCCCTCTGGACCGAAGGAAATCCCGAACCCTGAAGACAAGATGAATCCGCATCCCCAAACCCTAAACTAAACCCTAAACTAAACCCTCAACCCAAAACCATTCAGCCCTCACCCCTGCCGGGGGCCTCCCCCGCTAGCGCCGCTGAGCGCCTGCGAGGATGCGGAAGAGCGAACCGTCTCCACCAGCATCTCGGGGGGCACCTTTGAGGTTTAGGGTTTAGGGTTTAGGGTTCAGGTACGGTAGCGTTAATAATTAGAATAGGGTTTTGGGCTCCTTGTTAGTATAATGATGATAAGGAGCCCTAAGGAATAACATAGGTAGTGATTTAGGCTTTTATATTATACAAGGACCTGAATCAATAGAACAGGGTTTTGGGGATGTGTTACTAGTAAGAAGCCCCAGAACAGCATTGGTGACTCTTTAGGCCCCTATATTAGTACAAAGGGTTACTGTACTATAGATCGTATGCCTATGTCTGGGCTTTCGTCTTGCGATGGAGGAAGAGGGGTTCGCTGCAGAGTTGTTCAGGGTAGGGCATGATAAGGCAGGGGTCTGCTTCAACCCTGAACCCTAAACCCTGAAACCTAATCCCTAAACCCTGAACCCTAAACCCTGAAAACTCCTAGAAACTAACCCCTGATGATTGTGAGGCGAGGAACTTCAGGGTCTCGTTCATGGCTGACGAACCCGAACGAACTCCAAACCCAAAGCAAGAAGCCGCAGCTTCCAAAGGAACCCCTCAGAGCTCTTCCTGTTCTAGGGCTCTAGGTCGAAGGGCTTGGGGTCTAGATGCTTAGGTTTAGGGTTTCGGGGTGCAGGGTCTAGGGTTCTAGGCCGGAGGGCTTGGAGTTTAGATTCTTGGGTTTGGAGGTTTAGGCTTCAGGGTTTAGGGAAGAGCCAATCCGACATCGAACCATCAAAGACTTGGGACTTGGGACTTCTTGGTGAGGTGACATCAGGTGCAGGTGCGGGCTCGAGAATTCGAAGCTGGGGGCTTCGATAGCTAGGATGGGGTTGTGCCCATTCTACTATACTTATAACAAGGAGCCCCCTCCAAAATAGTATTGGTACTTATTTGGGCCACTAAAATTACGGCGTTGGTCGTGGAAGCATTGGGTTGCCACTGGAAGGCCCAATCGATGAAGTCCCAAAGCTCAAAGCAGAAGCTAGGGCCTAGCAGGGGTTTGGGTTTAGGGTTCAGGGTTTAGGATTTAGGGTTCAGGGTTCAGGGTTTAGGGTTCAGGGTGTAAGGGGTGCTATTTGCAGCCCTTGTCTATTGTTCCTAAGCCTTCTCAACCCAATCGGAACTCTCTATCCCTCAAACCCAGGACTGTGAAACCCTCAAAGCCCTACTACGAAAACCTAGATGGAAACCTAGTGAGAGCTCCAAAATACAACCCTGAGCCACCCCTTCGCGACCTTCTCCCCTGGCAGCGGCAGCATGACCAGTGGAAGTGGTGTTCGCCGCCCCTCTGCTCGGCGCGGGCTATCGGCATCCGCCTCTCGGACACAGAGAGCACCATACTTAATCAAGGAGAAAACCTTGAACTAAAACTGCTAGTTTCATCGTAGTAGCCGCAGTAGCGTTATCGTTCTTCATGTTAGTTTGACCATCGCTGGTTGTCATTCCTGCTTGTAAGGGCTCTTACTCTGGTTTGATTAGTATCTTCCTGCATCGTGGGGAGTTGAGCTTCGGTGTCGGCCAGTGCGACTTGCGCTCGGAGGTGCCGGTTTTCGGGCTGTGGTGGCGTTTTGAGGATATCGGGTCTCGGCTTTGGGATATAGGATTCTGGGGTTATGGATTGTTATGCTCATTTAAATTTCCCGTATCAGCACAACTGGGTCACATTGTACGGGGCTCTCTTGTACTGAAAAGCTCTGATCACACCATGCTTGCTCTCGTAGAACTTCATGAAGCCAAGTGAAACTGCGGCTTTGCCCTTGCAAACGCAACCTACTCTATCAGCACCCTACACGGCATGCCTCTTGAGGGCACTACGCAGAACAACGCGCTTCCTTCGCTCTCCACATTGCAAACAACGTGTGCGAAGGAACAAAAACACAAGATGGCCTCAGGCACAGGCTCCAGGCGTCCTGTGCCGCTCCGAAGCTTCTTTTATGGCTATTCAGGCCTAGGCGTCAACCCTAAACCGGAACCCTCAGCCGTTTGTCTATGACCCTAAACCCTAAACCCCTAAACCCTAAACCCACATTCTGCGACAGTTCCAGGCAGACTTCGGCGGGAGAGGCGTCAGGTGGGGGACCTCCGGCTTGGAGGTACCGGAGCTACCGACTTCAGACGAATTCCACAGGAGCTTCTTGGAGTTTAAGGTTTAAAGTGTAGTGGCCCTTTCTCCCTGCCGAAGCTGTGACGGACCTCCAAGAAGTTTAGGGTTTAGGGTTTAAGCCAAGACGAGGTCAAGCATGAGGTCGAGTCGAGAGCTGAAGTGTATTGTAGTTGAAGCAATTGGGGTTTATGTAGAACTTGTTATGCCTTTGGTGACCTTACGTATAACCCCATCCTTATCTCATGACTCATAACTGCTACCTACACACGGATTTTTAAGTGCTTTGAGCCGACAGGGTAGACAAAAAGGAGGGAAGTTCCGCCTGACCTGCATCTCTATCTCTGTTGTCGTCATGGTCCTATGCCCGAAAGAGACCCAGAACAATCCCAAAACCAATTTCAGGGCGTAGGAGTTTGCTCTTGCTTTTCCCTGGTCGTGGCCTAGATCTCTTTGGTAAACAGACCTAAACCCTAAACCCT